CAAGCCTCCAGCTGCCAGCCAAGCCACTGGCCAGGCACTGGCACTGCCCACCCACTGCCCACACTACTGTGTCCTCAGCTTGGCTGCCCCACATATGGCCACCAAGCCCCACCCTGGCCCTACTGGGCCCCGTGCAGGTGGGGGAGCTCTCTATGTGTGCTCGTAGTGAGGGGAGACCCTCGAGGGAGGTCGCAGCCCAGAGACCCAGAGAAAGGTATGGGGCTGAAGGACAAGGGGCTCTGCAGAGGAGACCCAGCCACACTGCACGGTCCTGCAGAGGATGTGGTCACCTCCTAGTGAAGGAGCCCCTTGGCTGCAGGTCCTGCCTGGGCTATGGGGGCTGCACAGTACAGAGCCCTGAGCTGTCCCTCAGCTCTCTGAAGCCACCCTTCAGCATTTGCTGGAGTCACGCGCAGGGACAGCCAGGATGCACAGGAGTTCTCCCCACTGTGGGCACCCCAGGGCCACCAGTCACCCCACTAGGTACTGTGGGAGTGGATGGGTGAGTGGCTGTGAAGGCCATGTTGAGGGATGCTCCAGCCACCGAGCCTTTCCAAGTGGAGAAAGCAGCTCCAAAGCCCGCCTTGCCCTAGGGCAGCCGCCCCAGGCATGGGGAGGGGTCCCTGGCCCAGGGCCCCACAGCTGCTCTTCCCCCCAGCCCTTCACCTGTGACGTGACCGGCTGTGCTGCCCAGCTCTTACTGGAAGAGGAAGCTGCTGGGAAGGCGGTGTGTGCGGCGGGGCAGCTTTGGGGAGGCTCGGCTGGGCTCGGCAGCCGGCACAGCTCAGCTGTCCATGCTTCCAGGTCCAGGGCCAGTAACGGGAAGCGTCTGCTCTCAGTGACGGTAAATCAGATCGGGGAGATTAGAGGCCTTTTTGCCTAATCATGAGCAGCTTGAAGTTGGAGGACAAGTTCCTGGAACAAAGAGGAAATGGAGGCAGTAAATAAAGAAAAACTGTTAACATGTGGCCCTGCGTGTGAAAAATGTCTCATGAAGGACTGTTTATGGCTCACTCATCTGCGGGGCTGACAGCGAGGGGGGCAGTAAGGGAGGGGGCCCCATGGGCAGGGGCGCAGGCAGGGGCAGGGCAGCCAGTGGGGAAGCTGCAGGGCTCAGGATGGGGGATCTGGGGAGGGCAAAGGCTGTGGCGGGGCAGAGGGAGGGAGAAGGCAGCAGCATGGCAGGAGCCATGGTGCAGGTGGCTGGAATGTGGCACATACACAGGTGGGCAGAGCTGGGCAGCATAGCCCCTGAGGGGAAGGGGGGACCTGAACGCACCTGCCCTGCTGATCCCCTGCAAATGTCAGGAGAAAGTGTCAGGTTCTGCAGAGCTGTGCCCCCCTCCCCATCTACAGCACGAGGCAGATGCAGCCCAGCCAGTCCAGCCTGACAGGGAAAGACAGGGGGGTTTCACTGCTGCACTGGGCACATGCCCTCCTGCTCCGGGGCAGTGCAGGGTTCTGCCAAGAGGCCAGTTGGTCCCCCCAGAGGAGGCAGGTAGCGCTGAGAACTGCGAAGCTGCCCACAGACCCCACAGCAGCGGTGCAGTGCCAGCCCACCTTCGGTGCCACCGGGTGATGTGTCGGCAGCTGCCAGGGCAGACACAGCCAGAGTTGGAGCCAGGTGACCCCGTGCCAGCCCTCTTGGCAGCGGCACAGAGTGGCGGG